CACACACACACACAAACACACACACACAAACACACACACACGAGACAGAACATTTTATTTTCACTGACTCATGGACTACTTTCTGATAAATCTGTTTAGCATCTGTTTGAGAAAAATAGACGTGTCATGGCCAAACAAGAACTTATTATGAGTTTGACTGGAGCAAGGAAACAACTGGACACAACCAGACGAATTTAAATGATTAAAGGAACGGCTCACACATTCACAGGGACTAACACAGTCAAACCTGTTCTTGATGACCATCCATTGTCAAGTCAAAATTGTTTTCTTAGATAAGTGGTCCTCTTAGACACTGTCATTATTATTTAGAAAATGCAAGAGAGAAAGTGGGAAAAGGCCGTTTGCACAGGTGATTGTCTTGGAAAGTTGGTTGCTAGAGCAGTTTGGACAGTAGTCGCACATGAAAATATACCGTAATACTGGACTGACCAAAAACGAAAACACACAACCTGTACTTGACCAACGTCTGTGTTGCAATGCTTACATAATACACACATTGCCGACGCACAAAAAAGAGGCGAGTACGATGCAAGTCCTTGGAAGTCTATTTAATTGTTATCGATTACATTTTCTCCGTCTATCTGCTTCGATCCTATGTCCCATTAATTGCGGGAGCGGGTGATTGGAGGGCGCCATTGGTAGGTCATACTTCTTTTCTTTCACTCTGTTGTTTCTAGTTTCAGTCTATCTGTCTTGCTCATGCTTCTTCTCTGTACTTTACGACCGTTATTGTGTCGATCTGCTTCTCTTGACTCAAACTCAAACTAATTGCGGGCTGCTTTTGAAGAAAAAAATACGAGGAAGTCCGCCTCCAAAAATAAAAAACCCATGTCAATGGCAGGGGGTTAAATCTTTACAAACAAATGTACTGGGTATCTTTTCAATCCTATTAGTGAATGAACAATTTTGGAGGTTAAAATTTACTCCCTACCATAAGCAAATACACGATAAAAAAGGAGCAGCTTCAGATATTGCAATCTCAGACGCCTTATTCTAGATCTTCAAATGTTAAAAAAGAAAATCAACTGGCCGGCAATTAGCACAAAACATACAAACAAAATGGATAAATGCAATTAATAGAAAACAAACAGACACGCAGTATTCTGAAACGGCGTGCGTACATGAAATGTCACAATGCCAACACGGCGTCCTTTTCCCTCATTGTCCACAGCCTACCTCTCCATACATGGATGAAAAGCGCCCGACGAGAACGGAAGTGCGTTGCCGGAATAAAAAAGAAAGAAAAAACCCCCAAAAAGCTACACAGCCCAATACATGCATTAACATAGACGCCCGTGTGCAGATATGCGATCAATAAGCAGGCCAAAACCCCCATCAAAGCCGCGAGCACACAAAATGTTGTTGAAATATTGTTGGTTACATAGCAACAGTTCAGTTTCACAGTGAGAACTGAGATTTGATAGCGGCCGAAGTGACACGAGAAGGGATTTTACGGCACAATCAACACATTGCGTTTTGGAGATGACAACGCTACGTATTGTAAAAATCATAACACAAGGAAAGAAAAAGAAAGTGCTGTCAGCAATCTTGTCAGTAGAAAAAGACTGTCCCACTATACAATCACCCCACCTTCCCCCACCCCCACCCCCCCAAAAAAAGGGAA